TATAGAGGGTATTATGCATGAAGAAATAAGACAAGAATTCTATGCTAAGGAGGAAGTATATTCAATCCTTCCCATGAAGAACAAATTCAAGCCATCCAATGATCTTAATTTGAGGAAATTTTGCTTCAAATAAGGGGGATAATGTGATCTTACTTCTGCACCTTCTACTTTTCATCTTTCTTTCTTCAAGTGTGGAGTGTTTCAATTACCTAGGAGCTTTACTGCACCTTTTCTCACAGTTCTATACTTATGTTTTACTTATATATCATAGTAAGCATATTAGTTATATAATGATAAGTATGAATATTACATGCCATGCTTAGTATATGCTATCTTAGTTTATACTTGGTACATATTATGTTAGGCATAGTCATGACATGTTATAGACCTTATACTATGATCATCTTATACTTTGCACAACTAATATATCCATCCACATCTTTACTTAGTCTATTTTATGATTATTCATCTATTCATAGCTAATTCCACGCATGTGCATATATTAATAGTTCATTCCATGCATATGCGTCATTTCTTAACTCATACTTAGTTTATCATATACATCATTATACATATATACTATTTACCCAAGTTACACAACTCACATTTATGATTTCATACCTTTTGTGGTACATGGGACATTAAGAGACAATGTGGCAAAATTTGGAAAGCTCACTCAATCTAGCTCAAGAAGCTCAACAGAAGTGGAAGGCAACTAACGACTAGCTAAAGGAGCTGAAGGGCAGCTGACACTAGTTGAAGGAAAGCTGAGGACTTGTGGAACCTGAAGAGGCACTAGGTACCTAAACATCTACCTAGGCTCCTAGCTAGCTTACTAGCCTAGTTAACTACCTAAGTCACCTCCTAGCAAGCACCCAACCATGTGAGCAGCATGTGACCAAGGGAATACCCTAAGGCAAGGCGTGAAGGAGCACATCAAGCATGGGTCATGTGCTTTCATTAAAGAAGCATGTACCTCCCTTTTGAATTAAAACAAGGTTCCATCTACAAGAGGTTCCAACTGTTTGGCCAAAGCACATACACCACATGTTTAGGCGCCAAGAATGAAGGGACACAAGCCTATTTGGTCAAAGCAAGCAACACCACGCATTCAAATTTCCCAAGGGTCAAACCATCATCATTATTTGGCCAATAAGGATTCTAAGGCTTATGAAAGTCTAGTTGAACCATTACCTTGCTTATTCATCACCAATGGTTGTAATTAATCATTAAATGAACATGTATTTTCATATGAAGCACCCTTGTTGAATCCAAATCAACCAATTAGGCCAACCCCCTTCATAATGTATAAATAGCCAATGCATTGGCTGTTGTAAGGCGTCAATCCCATTTCATTAATACAATTTGTGAAGTTTTCCTCTTCGCTTAAGTTCTTTATAACTTTTATTAACTTATCAAGACCCTAGGATCTTGTGGCGTCAACCGTTTTCTTCCATAGATACTTCTAGTCATTTTGGTTTAATATACCAAAATTGTCAAAGTCCTTTGCTACCACCCCTTTGTTAAACTTATAAGGTTTGGTGTTAAACTTCCTATAACCTAGTTTTTGCCTTAGTTGTTCAAGATATTATCCACCTTTTTCCATTTATTTCCTAAGTCCATCACCAAACCCAAATTACTTCCGCAACCATAGTGTATCATTCATTACAAAACAACCCACCATTTCACCCTTACATCAACTACCAAGCCATCCATTTGAGCCTATCTTCTTGCAGGTACTTATTCATTCACTAGATCCACAATCAATGGTAGTTTACCCTACATCATTTGCCCTTGCACTTTTTAAAAAATTACAATCTTATCATTTTAATCCAATGGTCCCGGTTTAACATGGAAATTCAATCTTAAATTCAATAATCCATGTTAAATTCTACTAATTTAAAATAGGGAAATGAAATTATTTACCTTGCCTTATCATCCTTCAGAACTTCTTAAAAATCTTATTCGATCCGATTATATGAATTTTTCTCGGGTTTTATCACTTTATAGCTTTAATAGAAACTCCGTATGAAAATTTGAAAGACAAGAAAATGTAATTCTTGGGAGTAAACTATTCATTTACGAGATAAAATATCGTTGTAGGAAAATTACTATTTTAGTCCCTAAACTTTTCCAAAATTTATACTTTAGCCATTAAACTTTCAAAATATTCGTTTAGGTCACTAGTATAAATTTTGGTAAAAAATCATATTTCTATGTATATTACATAGTCGTTTCAAGTATTTATGAAACAAAAGTGCAAATATTTATTAAGATTTTTTGGTAAAAAAAAAAATTAGATTAGGGTGGCTCATCTAGTCTAGGGCCAAGACATACGTAAGACCCAATTGAGATTTACATAGGAATTTACAGATTGTCCACCAAGAGTGACGATGATAGGATTCAAACATGGTCTTACAAGCTCAAATTCCTGAATCTCAATCACTTGTGCCAACACTCGTTGGCGAGGGAAGTTAATTTATTATCAATTATTTAACCACTAATTATTTAAAATATTGATTATTTAAATATGAATTATATAAATATAAGTTGTTTAAAAAAAATATTACATGATAATAAAATCATTCGAACACGAGACAAATAAAAATGACAATTAAATAGCAATTTTATTAATTAATTTAAAAATATTAATAAATTAACTAAATAAAGGAGTTACATTGTTTTCAATGGGAGGTGCGGATAGTAATCCGAGTGCTCCCTCTTTAGCCATTCCGAATGGAAAGCTCTGGCATGGCTTGCCACGTAGAGCAAATACACATCCAACTGAAAGCGCTTTTGTTAAGGCAAATATATTTATTTTAAATAATTAAATTGAAAATAAGTATTATTCTCATAAGTTAAGCACATATAAAGTTAAATTTTTATTAATATTAGTTTCTTCAACAAACTTTAAGACTCCACTTCCCTTCTCTCTTATTTTTAGCTGATTTTGTATTAATACCTTAAAGATAAGGGGTAATTTCTAAAATAATATCTTTTTTTATCTTACTGTTGAATCTGTTTTATTGATCTAATATATATATTTTTTATTTTAGTGTTGGTTCTGTTTGTTGATCTAATATCTTTTTCTATCTTAGTTATGATTCTGTTTTATTGATTTTTATATTTTGTTATCATTATTATTGTCATTTTCAGTATAAGACAATGCTTCCTCTTTAGATTTTGTTATCATTTATTACGGGTTTCTTCTTTTGGTAAACACCACAGTTTAGCGTGAGTTCAGTTTTCATGAATTTTATTTTCTTTTTAAAATTGAATGGCGTAGGTTATTGGGTAGCCATGAAATTTTAAACAAAAATTAACGTATGTTTTCCTTTTTCAAAGTTAATATAGCCTTTCAACCTTTGTTTTGATTTTATGTGATAAAAATAGTCAAAATTACCCCGTATAATAAGATGAAGGATGTGATTTTACTTTTTTACAAATATTTAGGTTCTTTATATTAACCTACATATAGTTAAGAATTCACCAAGTGATTTCATTGACTAAAGAGTGTATTTGTCTGAGATTATGGATTTGAGTAGTTACGTTTGTAGAGTATGTGCGTAATAATAGTTTAAAAAAATTTCAAACATATATTAACCTATAATCCTCTCAAACTATTAAAAATTCTACAGATTGTTAAGACTTTCGGATTCAATTTTTAATTTTTTCAAATAACGTTGTGTACAATTTTAGGTAACATCATTATCAGTGTATTTTATTTCTTTATACTTTTGATATATGTATTGATGTATTTTATAGATTTATATTTTTTATTTTAATTAGTACAAAACTTGTTTATATTAATAATCTCAATTGGGTCTTAAGTATGCTTTGACTCTAGATTGGGGAGCTACTCCTGACCTAATTTTTCTTTTGTACACAAAAAAAAAAGTAAGGCACAACAAAATATTTTAATTAAAATATAAAAAATTAGTTCTTAATTAACCCTTTAAAATCCAGTGTTAAAATCCATTACTATATGATTTTCAGCAGCAGAGTTGGTGAGGAGTGGGTGAAGGAGAAATCAGCTGGTGAGGCAGATAAACCCCTCGCTCCGCCCGCGCAATTCTGAAGCTCTTTGTATTGACTTTGGGGAACCAGCGTTTGGAAGTTTTATTGTTATCCTAAAAAAAGTTGTTGAAGCTAATACATGAATAAATTTTGGATTTGCATGCCGGATAAAAAAAATCAGATAAATCATGATAATGATATAAATGAGAAAAGACAGATTGTAAATTATTTTAATTAGATTCGATTAAAGTTCGGTGAACACTCGAATTTGAACAGACTCAACTTTAATTCTTAATAAGTCAAAATGAGTTACTTGATATTTGACACGAAAAGTTGGTGAATAACTTGAAAAAATAATATATTAAAATTTTAAAACTTAAAATTAAATTATTAATGATATTAATATTTACATCTTATTTTTTAAAATACTATATAAGAATTCTTCATGTTCTTAAGATTCATGTTCGAGTTAAATTGAGTTTGACTTCGAGATTCAATCGAGCTAAGTCTATTAATTTTTCGAGTTCAAGATTTTTAGCTTGATTCAAGCTTCAATGTTTAATTTCTAGTCCGAGTTGAACTTGACAATTTTAGGTTCGTGAGCTTTTGAATCGAATTGAGTTTAACTTTAAATTTCTCTAGTCGAGTAAAATTCAATAATACTCAAACTTGATTCGGTTCATTTACAACCCTAAACCGAGACATTCAAAGAAATATTGAAATCAGTTATGAAATTGAAGATAAATTATTCAGGAAATTCACCTTCAATGGTGTCCAACAATCCAGTTTAATGCAACCCAACAAACCTTTAACCACTCGTTTCCGTTTACAACAAAAATAATGGAAAGCCAAATGACCTAAAAGGCAGGTGTCTTACTTCTTCTACAAAGTCATTTGCAGATCTGAAGTTAGGTCATCTAATAATAATCAACCCTCCAGTACTTATATATGATGCCAACTTTTAATGCTATCAAGCAAACCCTTCACCCATGGCTAACCTGATTCTGCTTTGTTTTCTTTCTATTTTTTGCTTTTTATTAACGAGTCATGCAGCAACATATGTTGTTGGGGAAACTTCTGGCTGGGACATAAGCACTAATATTGATTCATGGGCTTCTGACAAGAGATTCAACGTTGATGATGTTCTATGTAAGTGTTTTATCTTGCCTATATTTGTTTTGAAGTATAGAAATCATATCCAAATTATAGGGTGTTATTTTATTGAGTCCCGAGACTATTAAAAGTTATAGAATAATCCTCCAACTATGGGGCATTGTTCTGTTGAATCCCCAACTATTAAAACTTATGAAATGGTCACCCGGCGGTCGGCTATTCATATGTTACAAACTTGTCATTTTCTGTTAAAATAGCGATTGTTTAAGCTAGACGTTAATCTATTGACCGAGATATGATAAATATGATCGTAAACCCGTTTGAGTTGTATTTTTTGGATTGAATCTTCATCTACATTATTGTCGGGTTACCATTTTGTAACTTCTAATGGTCAACATACTCAACAAAACAACATCATGTAGTGGTTGTGTTATTTTGGGACTTAACAAAGTAGTACCCTACAGTTGAGGGACTACTTTTTTATTTTACCCTTGTTTTATCTCGAGAAAAGATTTAGGATTTGTTTTCATCAGAGTATAAGTGGCGAATTTCAGTTTTGTTCTTGTTTGTCTGTAGTATTCCAATACTCATCATCTCACAGCGTGAACGAGGTTGCGAAAGAAAGTTTCGAGACTTGCAATACAACAAACAGTTTGAGAACATTTTCCAATGGGAATACAACTGTAACACTGCCAAATGCTGGAACCAGGTATTTTGTTTGTGGCAACAAGATGCATTGCCTTGGAGGGATGAAGCTTCTAGTAAATGTAGAAGATGATCAAACATCTTCACCTGTTGGTGCCCCAGAAGCACAACCTCGAGCGACAACTCCGAAGCCGTCTTGGAAGAATAATGATCCTGCAACTGTTATGCCCAGTTCGGATGGGTTCATCAATAGTGGAATTCAATCTGTTTTAATAGCCTTCCTATTTATGCCCCCTACAACTTCGGGTCTATTACACATTTGAGTATAATGTTCATAAATATTCACAATTACTCCATATTATATGCATATTATATTGCATATATATGAACACCTTTTTCCACTTTGGACTGCTGAATTATTGTCATCAAATAACAATTAATAATTTCACAAGCAAACTGCAAATTTCGATACAAATAGAGACTCAACTGCTAAAGTTTCCCTAAGGCTCAACTACTAAAGCTTCCCTAAGGTTCACTGGTTTAATATGCTAACCTTCTGATATACACAAGCACATCAGATTCAGATTACAAAAGGTTATTATCATCTAAAAATCCTTGCGAAGAAACCAAATCACCTCTAAGCTATATCTATAATAGTATAATTCATATAATTGCACTAGTAAACACAAAACTGACCTTCTAATAATTAAAAAATAAAAAAAATAAAAATCCACGACTACCAAACAAAAGAGACAAAATTTACAAACTTAAAGCATAATAAATAAAAGGAAAAAGGGTACCCGATGGCTTTGTACTTTTTCAAAAAAAATGTGGTCCTCGATTTTTTTTACTTGATGTGACTCTCAAACTTAAAAAAAAAACCAATGTGGTCATTTGAACAATGATTTCCATCGTTGATTGTTACGACACTGACGTGACAAATTACGATGCTGACGTGGTGAGCCACAATTCTAACATGGTGGTCCATGGTGGCTGATAACATGGTTGATAAGCTAAATTAGTTTTTTTCAAGTTCGAGGGTCAAATTGATTTTTGTAAAATTTAAGGGGTTATTCGATATTTTAAACAAATAAAAATATTTTAAATTTTTAAAAATAAAAATAAAAATAAAAATATAAAAATAAAATTTAAATTATTAAAAAATAAAAATATATTATTATTTTTTACCTCGAATTTAACTTGAGTTTTATTTATATAAATCAAAACTCTTTCATCCTACACAAATTTTTATTTCATATATTCCATTCAATTATCTTAAACTCCAAATTTCTTTCGAATTCTATTTCACTAATTTTTTTAAACATTAATTAAATAAATATTGAAAAGTCTTATAAAATTAAATAAAAAAGCAAAAAAAAAATTATTTATAAATTATCATGAAACTATAGAATTAAAAATAAAAAAATAGTTATAAAATTAAGAGGAGCATTTTCAGTGAATATATCATGATAAAGGGAAGTAAATTTTACCTAAACTTGATCTCAAAAAAGTAGGAGTATATACTTATCCTGCTAATTTCTATTATATACAACTCTATAAAGTCAAAGGTGAATATGGACTCCACATGTTTAAGGTTTCTGTTAGGCTCAATCGATCAACAGAAAACCCCCAAAAAGGATGTGATTTGGCTTTTAAAAAACTTGGGTGTGGAAGCAATAAAAGATAAGAATTAAACACAAGATTTATAAATGTTCGACTTTCTCAACCAAAGTCTACATCCACTACCTTAGCTCCACGCTAAGGATTTCCTAACAAGGTAGGTTTTTACAATGATTTAAGCTCACAAGAATAAAAATAAAGTATATGCAGTGAAGCTCTATATACTTATGAACAAGAGAAAAATGAAGAAAATAAGAATGAAAACACTTTTTTCTTGATCTCTAAGCTTGGAATGGTGTAGTAACTTTCTTCAAGTGTCCCTTTGTTATTTTTATTAGTTGGAATGTGTTTCTAACCGTTTATGACCATGGTGTTGGGATCGACGGTACACCCAATGGTGCAATAGAAAAATTATCCAATGATCTCACCAATGATCAAAGTACAAAACTTCGTATTCAGGTGTAACGCCCCAAAATTATGTTGGTTACCAAAACATAAATTTTAAAATTTTAGTGGTTAAGTATAAAGTTCGGAAAATTTTAGGGACCAAAGTGTACTTTTCAAAAGTTAGGTATTTTGGTCCCATAAACGAATAGTTCAACCCTAAGAATGATATTTTCGTGAAAATCATATTTTTTCGGATTTCATTTTAAAATCTATGAATTGTTAAAGTCTAGTAAAAATTAGGTTAATCGGATCCAATCAAAATTTTGAGAAATTTTTAATGATAATAAATTAAGATTAGAGATATTATTTTCACATTTTAAAATAATAGAAAATAATATAAAGCATTAGATTTGAGTATTAATTTTCATGTTAATAATGGACCGTTAGATGAAAATGACTAGATTGGAAAGTTTAGAAAAAAAGCATGGGTAAAAAGGGCAAATTTATTTGTTCATCTTTGACTTTGAAAGATGATAATTAACATGTGAAAAGGTATTATGGTAATTATCAAGTTTTATTAAGGGTATAATTGTTATTTCCTATTAAATGAATTTTTAATTCATTTAAGTTAAATAAATGATAAATGTTTATGAAATTAAATATAGAAATTTCATGAACTTATCTTCAAGATTCTCCATGTCCATGTATCATCCAAGGTATTGGAAAAAAATTATTTTTTATTTTCAAGCAAATTCCTTGGGTTTCTGAATTAAAGCGTGAAATATAAATTTGTTCTATTCGAAATGCTCTAACATTTGGTACCAATTATGCATGCTAAAACATGTTGAAATCACAAGTTCATAAATATGGTGGACGAAGGGATGTTAGAGTTTTATAAATGGATGATATATTTGATGTTGTTGATGTTGTAGAGTTGTTTCCAAGTTAGTATGACGACTAAAACTACTTGAAATTGGATGAAATAAAATTTGATCATACTCAGGGTTTTGAGAAATTTGTGATTTAGGTTAGGGGTTTGATTGTAAAAGTTTGTGAAATGTTGTTTAGAGGTTGAATTATGTTTGAATCAAAGTAAAAGTCAAGGATTTGGAAACACTATAGATTCAACCTACATGAAGAAATTGGGGAAAACCATGAAAAAAACTTCCTAGGCTTTGAAAAGATGTTTGAATTCTACAAGTTTTAGAATGTTGTTTGGACACATTTATAAATTTGCACAAGTTTATGGACCAAATTGAAAATATGGGAAAGTTAGTGACTTAAGTGAAAATGGTGTAATTGTTGATGTATTAGGTTTGAATTAAATGTTGGAATTTATAATTATGTTATTTGAAGATTGAATTGAAGTAAAATGGCGATGGACTATTTTTGAATAAAATGGAAAAGTTAGGATAAATTCTAAAAGAATTCATAATTAATGGTTAAAATATAAAGTTGAAAATGTTATGTGAAGTTTGGATGAATTTGGATAAAAGGTACTTGAATGGTCAACTTGAAGTGTTAAGGTCAACATTTATGTTGCGACATGGAATTAGTATCGAATGAGCATCAAAAGATTTTTAAGAATTTATTTTCTAATGTGTGCCTATGTCAGTAAGATTCTAACATGTGGTTTGAATTGTATATGTTTTGTAAATGATGCGCATTTAGATTGTGTGCTTGAATTCAAGATAAAATAATATTAAAGCTAAGGAGAAGCTTAGGGATGATTGTGAATTTCTAAGGAAGGTTTCCAAGCTAAGGACACCAGGTGAGTGCATATTTAATTTGTATTTATGTTATCGAGCAAACATTGGCATGTGATGAGCTAATGACGGAGTTACAATGGTAAGAAGTGACTCCTAAATGTTATGTGATTTGTGATTCATGCATATATGTTCATTCAGTAAGTGAATAGAATTAGGGAATAAGCAAAGGATGTAATTAGTGAAAGTTGCATAGAAATTTTGATTTGAACAGTAAGTTTAGAAAATTACCCTAAATTATACAGAAATGATTAGAGGATGATTTATATCATTGTATTTGCATAACAATCTAGTTTTGTTTAAAACAAAAATCTACTAATTTTGAGGAGCATATAAAAAGATATGATTTTTTAATCAAGGATAGGTAAAAAAAATAAGGTAGTAGATTCTGCTCAAAATAGCTTCTGTAAGCCAAATTTGAAAAATAACTATAAATTTTACAAGTTGAACTAGAAAAGTGTTTTATATGGTTATATTTGTATTGGAGTTTATTTTCCATTAGTATAAATGGAATAATTTTTAAGTGTGTATATTAATATAGACTAATATTTCTTTGAAGGTAGTGCAAACTACCAGAATATGAAATTATGATAATTTTAGTGATCGAAGTGAATCGAAAGCAAATGATAGTGAGTCTTATATTTTTCACTTGTATATAAAGTGCCATGGCGAGTGAAATGCATACATAACATTATAAATGGATGTTTTATATGTCATTAGGAACACTTGTGATGAGTATACCTTTTTTATATTGACATGATATTTATGTCATTTATCATATATTTCACATATTCTAAATATGTCAAAAGTTAATATAAAATGCATTGGTCACTATATATATGATGTTTATCATGAATGTTAATTCGAGTATGAAAATCCCAATATTGAATCATATTAATATACATTGTCATGTACGAAATATATATAAACTATATGCCCAAGTATGTAATTAAGGGACAATGGTATAGTTGGCATGCCATAGAGTTCAACAGCATGCTACATATTCAGTTTAGTATTATAGTGCATATGGTGGGAACGACCTTATGTGTATTATAACTATAGTGTATATAAAGGACACTTAGTGCACATGGTGGGCAAGACCTTATCTGTATTATCACTTTGATGCATATTTGACTCGTTTATCCAGGGTTCATATATGCTTATATTTGGGCTATGGTTTTTTGGTTAATAAATGATAAATAGGTGAATAAGCTTATGAGCTTTTGGAATGAATAGCAAGTATATTGGTAAGAAAATTTTATATGTGGTTTATATCATGTTAATATATGGTAAAATGGTTGAAATGCAGGTAAATTGATCATAATGCATTGAATAATATTATTTATTTATATATTTGTGTTGTATTGAATTCACTATTACTAAGATTTCCTCACTAAGTGTATACTTAGCGTGAGATGATTTTCACGCGTAGGTAAAAGAAAGAAAGAGATGTAAGGAGCTGAACTTGGCATCAATCACCAAGGAATATTTAAGGTAACAATAATGGCATCCTATTATGTTCTAAAATTTATAGCTTGCATGTATACGAGTAAGAAATTACTACAAATTAA